CTAAAAAATACATATATAATAGTTAAATATAAACCATTGTTAAAGCAGAATTACATAAAAATAAATAATGAATTGTCAATATGTTTATATAAAATTTTTTCTGTAAAAATATTTTAACATTTTAATATTTGATCTATGTTGAAGTATAAGAATGATATAATAAGCATTAATAATTAATGCATTTAATAAGTCAAGCTTCATTTTGTAATGCAGGTTGATATGAACGACTTTCTCCAGTCTCAGCATTATCAACTACAAATTTTTGTAATAATACATAAAGTCCACCACCGACAAGTAACATACTGATTCCTATCAAAAGTACAATAGACCATGCTGGTATTACGGTTCCCCCTAAAAAATTTGATTTTATTATTAATATATGTTACTTTTTCTTATATTTTTTTATCATTATTTTTACTTACAATAATAACGTCTTGTAATTGTTTTTCGACCTTTCAAAATTTTACGTCTCGCTTCGACATCATCCATAAAGATTCCCATAATTACTATTCAAAATGAATAATTTACAGGATATATTATTTTCTAATACATATATTTTTTACAAAATTATCAAATTATTTATATAAATATAATAATATTAAATTATATACTAATTTTAGTTACTAATATATAATTGTAAAAATTATATATCCAATATAATATCCAATATAAAAAACAAAATATGAATGATTTTATAAAAGTTTGATAAAAATAAAAATAAAAATATCTCATTATTAAAATGATATGAGACGAATATTTTATTTTTTCTTGCAAGTTTTCGATAATTTATTGTAATTGTTTTTTAAATACATTTACATAATACATTTTGTAAAATATAGATAAAAGAACAAATAATGGAAGAAAGAAAAAGAATAAAAAAGATAGAATATTCTCCATCTCCAGAATGTCGTAAATGAAATACATAAAAAAAAAGGACAAGAAATAGTAAAAAAATAGAAATAATATAGGAATTGCTATCAACATCTCATATTTGGACCAAGCTTCAATTTGTTATTAGCATAACAGAATATGCAAAGTATTCGAATTCGCCATAAAGAATGTAACATTATAGAAGAAGGATAAAAAATATTTCCAATCAATTTGAGAATGCCACATGGAAAATTCATCAAGTATTCTACTCAAAATTTTTATACTTTTAAACACGCATTTTGAGGCTAGAACTTCAAGCAAGTTTCTCGTATCAATTTTTTTGTAAAATTCTTTTCCATTTATTATTTATTAATGATTATTGACGATTTATTTATTGATGATTAATTTATTATAAATTTATTAATCGTTAATATAATAATAATTAATAGAAAAGAATTTTATATTAATTTATATTATAAAGAAAACGAATAATTAATGAATTTTCTATGTGGTGTCCTCGAATTGGTGAATGAAATATTTTTTATCTTTCTCACACAATGCTATTTTTCTTGATATGACGTCACGTGATTTCGAATACTTCTTTGCATATTCTGTTATACTAATAACAAGTTAAAGTTTCGATGATCTAAACGCGAGATGGCGCTAATTCTCAATTCTTTTTTTATTTAAAAAAATGTGTTTATTAGTTAAAAATTGATCTTTAATACTGATAGACAATTCTTCTATTATTTGTTACCTTTTCTTTTATTTACACTTTAGAGATGATGCTAATTTCAATATTTTTATCTTATTTCTCTCTTTTTGCTTCCCTTGTTTACATTACTTCTGACATGTGACATAGATCACAGAAGAAATAAATATGAATATTTGAACACGCTTGCAATTCTTTTTCAAAATTATAATGAATGTTAATTTTTAATATAAAAAAATATATATATATTATATTTTCGATTTTAAAATGTACAGAAATTGTTTATTCATTTATAATTATAATTTAAATTATAATCATTTTTTTTATTTATAATTTTATAATTTTAATTTCCATTAGTAAAATCGTAATTTTATTGTGAATCAAATTTTAATATTCCGAAGCATGGGACAAAAAATATATTTCATATTTATATCTTTGGTCTATTTTATATCTTTATATCAGCATTTTCTTCATTTATCTAATAACACTATCTTTTTAAAAAATATTCAAATTTATCATCTACTAATTAAAGATCATAAACTAATTCATTTTGCTTTGGATAATAATGTAAAATAAGTTTGAACACTTTTTAAAAGAATAATATTAAAAAAAATAATAATAATAAATAAATAAAAATTGCTATTTTTATATGTTGTACATATAAGATTTTAATGAAGATTTTTGATTGAATTTTAGTTTTATATTTTTATATAAATTTAGTAAAATATAATTTAAAATATAATACACACAGAAATATAACAATATATTAATATAGATATTTGTAATTATTATTTATAAGCAATAATTTTAATTTTTAATAAGGATATTATATTTGAAATATATTATAATTCAATATATATACTTACTTAGACCAATAGCAAAATAACATAATAACTTTCTAGAATACATTTTTTTTAATTAAAAATATACACGTTAAAAAACAAATACAATTAAAAACACTTAAAAACACAGGTAGAATATCTAGATGAATAATGTTCGAATCACATAGGGTAAAATAAAGATATGGATAGAAATATATGAATCAACGCAATGATAAGAAATATTGATAACAAGAAATCTTATCTTTTTTCACAAGTGATAAAAGAAATTTTTTATATGAACACTTATTAAAGTTTTAAACATAATTTTATTAATTAAAATTTTCAATTTATTAATTATTTGCAAACAAATATTATAAATTGTTGTTGTAATTATTTTTGTATAAATAAATATTTAATTATATGATTTTTATTACAGATTTTATTTTAATTCTTCTATAAACGAAGATAAAGAATAATAAAAAAAAATAAAAGATTAAATTATAAATAATTATTTAAATAAATATGAAAAGAGAACAAAAGTTTAGTTAAAATAAATTTATACACGCATAATATAATGTATGTACATAGTTTATATAAAATACTTAATCCGACATTGTACACTATTGATTTAAGACTATTTAAATATTAACAATTAAACTTTCTGCTTGATATTGAATAATAGTCTAAAGAAATGTGGAAATCCAGAATATATTTTGGAATTTGACGGTTCGGATATAAAGCAGATTATCGGGAGTGCAGGTCGAAGATTCAGGTGAGTATGGGTAGGATCTATTAAACAGAAAAAATTTATAGTCAGTTAATATTTTTTAATTGCATACTGATATTTTATTAAATAGAAATCAAGGAAACTGAGTTACAAGTATTAACTCATTACAAGATCGTTGTAATATTAGATTAGCCGATACCAACGTGAAAAAATCTTCAATTAAATATGAAATGAAAGAACTATCCTTTCCCTAATAATATATGAAATAAAATGACATAAAATTGGATATAATATCAAATAACAAATATCATATAATTAAAATGAACATCTTAATAATATTGATATAATTGTTCATTGATCCTTTGAAATATTTATTTTAAATATGTTTAAATATGTCAAATTTAATTAAATTTTATGTTAATAGTATCTATAAATTAAATTTATAAAATAAGTGGTGCAATATATTTTATAGAAGCGTTTCAAAGGATCATGATATCGAAACAGCATTTAAAATGTTGGTATCGACGTTTTATATGCTGACTCGAATAATTAAATATATTGCATTTGTTTTTTTTTCTTTTTTATATAATATTAAAGTAATTTACGGCGAAAATAAAGCTCTATGCAACTTACGAATATAATTACCATCATAATGTAAATTGAAATAGCTGGCACATATACAAGGCTTTCCAAAAACATCACGTTTCACAATAACAAGCTCCTTTCTGCCTTAAACGGCAATACTCGCATCGTTTCTTTCCTTCCAGTTCTTTTCTTCATCTAGTTTAGCTATCATTTTACTTAACATTTTCTCTCCCATTTTTTATTTTCTAGAAAGTGTAATTTCCCTGGTATCATTGTGATCTTTTTCCTCTCATATTTTTTTTATGTATTCAGCACCATATAATTTCAAGAAAACCTTCGCGTAAAGTATTACGTTTTCTTTTTTTTTTTTTTTTTATTTTTCTCGTCTCTGTACCCGTCTCGAGTGCACCCTGTTGGCGCAAGAATTCCAAAGTCGCCGCACTTTAAGGCAATTGCTTGACGACACTGCAATATGGTCGAAGAATATCAAATCTGCTGATTTATTGCAGAAGAGATACACTTCGACATGTACAGTACTATGTAATCGCATATTCTTCATTAACACGCAAATTCCGTGCTATTAATGTATGTATTTCACAAATATTCCACGAAAAAATAAATCGTTATATATATATAACGATATATGAAACATATATTAGATGTATTAACACGTAAACTCAATTTTTTCCAAAACTAATTATACTTTCGCACGACTGTGGAATATGAATTTGTGCATTAATGTTTTAAGTCGCGCATATACTGTACATATCCGGTACCGTAAAAATATCACAAAGAAATGATTATTTGAACAAACAATAAATTGTATTAATTTATATTGCCAGATAATTAGTTAATAGAGTTAAACATTACCTAGTAACAAAAATTATTCATTTATTGATATATAAATATAAACATGGAAATAAAGGAAAAAAAAAAATGCAATGTATAAATATACAAATGTACTACGAAATAAATCATACTTAAAAACAAATTTTTCAATGAAATTTTACTCATTCAACAAAATAATACGGCAGTTATACACAAATAATTATTTTAAATTCTACACACATTTTTGGGTTTTTCTTACTACGAGAAATAAATAAAACATAATAATATAAATAAAACAAGATCTTATAACATAATATCGAGTATAAGAAAATAAATATATGTTATTATTCTTAACACATTGATCGTTCTTCGATTATTTCGTTGCGTGCAATATACCTTTTCAGAATGCATAATTCCATTTCATGGATATTAAGTTTCGTATTTCCAGTTATATGCATTCATTTTAAAATTTACAGAAATACGTAATAAACAAGCATTCTATATTACATTGGAGGAATATAGAATTAAACAAAAATAAATATAAATAATACTGTAAAAGACTTATATCGTATAAGTACTAATGTTCTCCTCAATTATTCATAACAATATTAAATATTTTATTATTGAATTACTTATGACATATTGGAAAAAAAAAAAAAAGTTAGGCGAAAACAATTTTTTCTACAAGTATACGAAACAAATTACCGATAAAGAAAAATTTTTCATTGTAGATAATAGAACGTTTAATAATTTCCTATAATTTACCTACATTAGAAGTGTCTATAACATTGGACATTAGTTGTCATAGGTTTTTCATCTAAATACGAATCTTTTGTGCCTAAGCTACAACCTATATGCAATCAAAATCATTTCGTAATTTCACTTGAAATATTGTATTATTGGATGGCATAATGGTTTTTATAGATAATTGAGAATATTTTAATGAATTTTTGTTTATAAGTTAGTTGACGTTATTATTCGAATTATTCGAAGAATACTCATTGAAATGCATTTAGAATTAATAACTATTATTATCGTATTTCTTAAATTCTATTGCGAAGTGTTCTTATGTTGGCTCAACGTATTGCTACCGGTTACTTTATTTTCCATTTTAATTTTTACCACTTTTTATAAAGTGACAATATTTTTTCGTTATTTTATATATATATATATACTTGAAATTATTTTCTCTCTTCGTGTTTCCTTTTTTAAATAATTCAGTCAAGTTTATTACTGCGTTTGCAAAAACGCTATTCTATTTTCATTGCAGAATTAGAGAATTAAATATATGTAAGATATTCCGTATATATTTTTATCCCGTGGCCAAATATTAATTTTATATTCATAAATATTATAATATTATATATTATATATAATATGTTTTTATTATTATATATTCTATATAACATCACATAAATTAAGTTTTATATATTTCAGAAATTTACGAAATTGTATACAAGAACAAGTTCTTATTTGCTCATACGTGCCTATCTGATCGCATTTATTATGTTACGTATCTCTAGCTGCGGAGCAATGACAGCGGCATTTCTGTTAAAAGTTATCGCTGGTTAATAGTGGTGTTCATATTAATAAATAAATACCGCGAACATCATTGAACATATCTTTAATACATATACATATGTATATATATAATATATGTATATATATATATACATATATTATATATATATATATATACATATATTATATATATATAATAAATTGTTGTATTACCGAATAATCGTATATCTTTTACGAACTAAATTTTTAGGTTTAAATTTAAGTTTACCTTGTGGCTAGCTGATAGTATGATCCGACGTACTTTTCTTCGTTTCACTTAATGGCGTAGAACAAATATTCGTCGAGGAAGATGAAATACGGTCCTTCGATAAATTACCGTTTGGAGTTAATTTGCAGCTTTCTTCATTTCTTTTTTTATTACTATGTTCCACTATGTTATTATCAACAATTTTATTTGCTTCATAATTCTCATTCTTTGTTTGTTCTTTCAAATTTTCGCAACCGTGTATATCGTTGTTTCTTTCTATAATATTTTCATTAATCAATACTTCTTTGAATGTAGCTAAAGTTTTACGAAGTGTTATACAGAAACCTCTGGACGCTGGTATTAATGGAAATTCTGGTAAAATTTTGTTATCTAAAATATTAATAAAAACTTATTATTATATTTTATTAAAAAAAATTATTAAAACTAGATGGATATTTTAATGTAGATTAATGAAGAAAAAAAAAAAAAGAAAAAGAAAAAAAAAAGAAATTGCAACATACCAACATCGGATATTTGTTTAAAAGTAGTAGGTGTTACTGGAGATAATGGATGTTGATTATTATGTTGTTCAGAAATTTCCATCCACAACTCTAAACGTTGTAATAATTTTTTTGCATGTCTCTTGAAATGTTCAATAATAATATCTTTAAATACAGGAGGTGGATGTTGTAATAATTTAGTTTGAGCTTGAACCAATTTCAATACAACCATTTCATTGTACATTCTTGAATTTTCTTTTCCTTGTTGAGAACCTTTTTGTTTGTCAAATCCAGCTTCATTAAAATATGGTTCGGGTACGAGAATAAGGCCTTGAATTGAGACTATAACTTGCAATAGAGTTGAAGAACTTGTCCATACTTCTGTTCCACGACCAGACCAAGTTCCGAGTAAACTTACGCATACTTTACCATCTTCGTATAGATTAGGATTTAACCTATCATTACAGTAAGAAATATAATGGCAAAGTGGTGGAGCAGCAGGATAATCAGCGGATAATTGAAAATCAAAAAGAAAAAGACCATCTTCATATGGTGTTTTCTCAGGTCCACGAAACATTACAGAATACAAGTCTATTCTATCTTCAAATCCTTTTACCCATATACCAGGTGGAAGAGAACTCTTCAAAAGCTTTAATTCTTTAGAAACAGTTCTGAAAAAATTTGTAGGATCCGTAGGCTGAAACATTGTTAATTTAAATTTATGACTATCTGGTGCAGTCTCTTCTATAGAAAATCCTTCCCCTTCTGCATATACTGGTGGTGGAATTTCTATGGAACATTCTGATGGTTCTTGTAACAATTCTATACGTTTTTCTTCTTCTTTCTTTTGTTTCTTTAAAGGTGATGATCCCTTTTCAGCATCAGATAATGACATCTTTGATAATCCGAATCGTCTAGAAACTTCTGCATGCGCCAATACGAGTTGTGCTTTTATCAGAGTACATAATTTAACACAAACTTGAGAACTAGCTACGTGAGAACTCGTTATATGCATTTGAGACTTGGAAATTTTACTCGTTTCTGATTTTTCTACTGAACGATCAGGTACATTATTTACATCCTCGCTAAGTAGAAATTCTCCACTTGATTCACTAGAGCCCGATTCTTTTTTTGAATTTTCTGCAGAATATAATCCAGAATCCTCAGGATTAGGATTAACGTTAATAAATAAACGATCAATTGATTCTTCATCTTTTATATTTTTTTATTGGTAATTTCATCGTTTTTATTTTCCGTAGTTTCTGTCATGTCTGTTACAGTAGTAATAATTTTTTCGCAAAGATTACTTCCTGATTGTACTATATTGTTAGAATTTTCTGTATTATTTTTATCTATATTTTCTTCCGATCCATCAGATTTATGTGTAAATAATCTTGTTACTTGATCCGCCATACGTTGTGCTACATTTGCTCGACCACGTTCTCGAACTCTTTCCAAAAGTCCTTGAAAATGACATTCATGAAAGAAAGAAGTACCCATAAGTTTATCCATGTATCGACAATCTTTATAAACTTCTAATAATTTTCTCATAACTTCAGTTGTCTGAAGTGAAGGATTTTGGGTAAAGATTTCTTCCAATCTAGACATTGCAATGCGAGCTTTTTCGATGTGTGCGGCCAGTTTTGGTTTTATATTTTCTAATTCTGTTTGTTCTGTACCATCTGTATCAGCGATAAAGCAATCTTCCAATTCTGTTTCCCACGATGCGTCAGACGATACATCGTCCCATAGTTCTCCTTCGTCACTATCATATTCACCTACTTTATACAAATCTTGAGGCCAACACATACTTACATGTCCATCAACCCACCACACTTTAACTCGTCCTTCTGGGTAATTATCTAGAACTTGACCAGCAGTACAACCAGCATCTTCACCTTCAAAATTAGCTATTCGAATTACTAATGTACCTGGTCTATATTGAAAGTCTGGATGATCTTTTAAATCATATACACTAACTTCACGTTCTTCTAGTAAAGTTGGTCTACAAAATATTTATGTAATTTAATATTTTTTTAATAAAATTGATTCAATTACGAATATATTAGTACTTACTGGGGACTTTGAGTAGAAGTGTATGTTTTAAACCATTTTATTTTAGCTGTTCTACCTTGATGGTCAACACTTTGAACTACACCATACATTCTAGATTCTTCTTTTTGATCAACTACAAAATCACCTGGGAAGAATTCTTTATCATCTAAATGATGAATTGGATAAAGTTGTGTTGATGGAATACCTAAAATAGAAATAGAAATTATATAAATTTTACATTTTTAAAAAATGTAATAAATAATGAGAAAAAAATCATATACAAGGAAAAAGATTTATAAAATTTACCAAATTCTACTGAACCATCTTGCCATACAACATTAGCTTTTGTACTTGTAGATAATGTTTCAACAACAATTTTAGTTCCTGCAATTAGTGGGACTGGTGGAACTTTTTTTCTTGCTTTACAAAGCTTCTTCTTCTTTAATACCTTTGTCATTAAAGCTGGACCCTTTTTCTTTTTACCCATAGATGACATACTGGAACATCCACTAGATACCTACATAATAATATTAATTAAATTGTATAATAATAATAATATTGATTAAAGTTTATTATAAATTATATAACAATTTAAAAATCTAATTAAAAAAATCTTACTGAAGCACTATCACTTTGTGATCCAGTATCTTCTGTATCCCAATCATCTGAACTTTCAGTATTCTGATTTTGTACTGGAGGCATTAAGGTATTATTGCTTGTTATATTTTGTAAATTATTAATATTATTATGAGCATTTTCTTCTGTTTGTTGTTCATTAACTTTATCTTTGTCTTTTTCCTTCTTTTTATCTTCAACTGGTTTTGTAACACTGATATTTGGACGTGTTTTCTTTGGACTATGTTTAGGAACTTGAAAAATGTCTCTTTGTTGCTTTCTCCATTGTTCTCTTGTAATAACATTTTCATCACCTTTAATCACATAGAAATTTCGATCCCCTACTTGCACAGTAGATGGTTCAAAAACATTCAATAATTTTAATTTTTTCAAATTTTCCCCTTGAACTACAAATTTTGGCTGAGCTTGATCTGACCAAGCACCATCCTTTGAATATGCTCTACACTGCCAGTGCACTCCTACCCAATCTGTTTCTACCTTTTCTACAATTACTTTTGTTAATTTCTGTGGCTTGGATTTTCTCTTTGCTTTCATTTCTTTTGTACATGTAATCCATTGTGCATCTTCTAGGCAGTGAACTGGTCCCCATAAACTTTGACCAGGATAAAATTCAGAAGAATGAGGAAAATCATTGTCCTAAAAAATTTTTATTGTATTTTTGATCAAACAATTATTCTGGATTTGATTCTTACATTATCACGTCTCTCCTCTAATTGTCCTAAGACACGAGAATCTGTTTCATTTATAACACAACGAGATCCATCAGGTGTAGTAAGCCATAATTTAAAATTTGCCATTTTTATACCACCAACCCATGAATCCATACAAACAGCTATATCTGTTGCAAATTCCTATAGATAAATGTATGAGTTAATTTTATAGAAAAATAAGTATTATAAATGCATGATTACATACTTCCAAAGGAACTAAATCTTCACTCCTAATATTGGTAAGGACTTGTTTAGTACCAATCACTTGAACACAGGCAGTAAGTTCAATATCTCTACAATATCCCCTTTGTGTATCCTTTCCTTTAATCATTCGACGTACAACATCTCCTGGCATAAGCGTTCTGTCTGCTAAATGTACCTATAAATAAAAAATAAATTAAAAAGTATCTTTTATAACAATGAAAAATCACCGTTATTATATCAAATATGGATTCAAATTTGAACGTAACATTCAATTGTAGATATCATTGGCGTGACAGGTGTCGCTTTGCATAAAATTAAAAACAAATACAATAAGAGAAGAAAAATGACATAGTAAAATATTAAAAATCATTTAATATATAATCTGTTATTTCTAAGAGAAATGTTTTCTTATCATATTAAATGTTAAATACCTTCTTTGAGCTGACCAATTCCTCGACACCGGAGGGATGCCAGACCACGCGAATCTCGCCCTTTTTTCTTTTCGGGCTCTCTTCGCTGTCAGAACTTTCTTCGGATAAATCCTGATCGTCATTTTCCATAACGATTCCAAACACAACGTTTCCTTTCTTATCCACACGATAGACAACATCTTCGTAAAAGTACTGGCACTCTACGCCAAAGTTCGTAGCCATCTTTCCTCTAATCACTGAGTACTCGCTCTCTGCCGACGACGGCTGACAGAAGGTTACACGGCGCAACGGTTACGGCGCACGTCGCAAGCAAGGAACTTGACTCCGACCCCGAACCCGACCCCAACCCCGACTTAAAATCCACCGATTTGAGATGCCTTTTGATTGTTCTCACTGATCGAGTTGTTATCGACTTGTTTCAAATCGAGAATTGTTCATTCCTCAATCGTCATTTCAAAGCATCTGTCAAAATAAAATTAAATTTAATTTCTTATTAAGATATATATATATATACATATGTATATATGTATAGTTCGCGTATAAAATATATATATATATATTAGTATGCATGTATGTAAAAAGGTAGTTGATAAATTTATCTTGTTTGAAAGCAGCTTCAATTTAACAAATACAATATAAGAGGTTATATGTATATATATATATAATTCTTATATATGTATGTGTAGTATATGCATGCCATTCAAATGATATAAGTTAATCTTCGGCTTTCATGAAAAAAAAATTATGGTTTTTTTTAAATAATTAAGATTTATATACAAAAATATATATAAAATTCAATTATGCATAAGTATATAATTTATTTAATTATTTGTATATATACAGGCTTGATTATTTAATAAATATATTTATGTTAATAGTTTATTTTTTTATTCTAAAGGAAATACTATAATCTTATATACAATTATGTATTTAATCAAAAAATATATATAATATCAATTTTTTATTTTATTCTAATAATAAAACATCCAAATTTATTATTTTTTTAAAGAAATCACTTAATTCTAATGAACATTTTTTAGGGAAGGAAATTTCTTAAGGACTAGAATAAATAAAAAATACAATTCATTAATAGTTGACTAGATATGTAAATGAAAATGTGCTAGAAACATTTAATTACATAAAGTTTGATTATGTCATTAAAGAATAATTTCATGTAAATTTTTAAAATTTTTTTAAACTGCAAAATGAGTACGTTGAAATCCTTGACCCAAACTTTGTAATATAGTTTGCACTTCATTTTCATTTTGATGATAAAATACATATGCATCAAATTTAGTTGCTAGATTGCAATTAGTATCTCTAAAGTAAATAAGAAATATATTAATATAAATATTATAATAAAGTTTAATTATTATATTTATATAATAAAATTATGTTAATTATTATTGCTTATATTAAAACAAATATTTGTTTTACCCTGAAATAAATGCAAAATAATTAGGAATGTTTCCTGTACGTCCACAAGATGAAATTTCCATGTAACTTTGTTTACATATTACCTAAACATTTAACAAATAAAATGTATTATTATGATACTATATATTTATATATAATAAAAATTGTTTACATACCATATCATTTGAATCTTGAGTCACTCTAATTCCTAATTCTAGACATTCAAATTTCACAGGCACTGATTTTATTTCTTCTGACTTTAACACTTGCAAAATTGCTCTTTCTATTTGTTTAACATCTCCTTTTGCACCAATGTATATAGAACCACAATATTTAACAGAGAAACCAGCATTCAATGATTTATTTTCTGATTTAGTTATTTCAGTTTTTTCATTCTCATCTTGTATTTCAGAATTAAATCTTTTTAAAATTTTTTTTAAACCTTCAATACCTGAACTTTTTATAAGATGAACAATTGGTGCATATAATTCATAAGTTTTTTTATTACGATGCTGAAAATTATTTAATAATGTAAGAAATATATATATATATATATTTTTAATATTTCTTCTTAATGTTTCGTACTATTGTATGAACTATTAAATAAAATGCATTATATATATACTACTGTATATATTATATTATCGTTATTATATACATATGTTTTAATATACATACTTTAATTACATATAGGCAAACTGGTTGACCTATAGTTTTTTTCATAAATTTACGTAATTGTCCTCTAGTATTAGATGTTATAGCATTTCCATTTATTTCATCTAAAATATCTCCAATTTCAACTTTATCCTAAAAGTAAAAATTAAATAGAATTAATATTTTAAATAATATTATAAATTAATAAATTACATTAATAATAATGATATAAAAATTTAAAAAAATTATTGTGTTCATTACATCTTCTGCAGCCACAGAATTTTTATCCAAGTTAACTATTAAAGCTTTTCCTTTTGTAAAACTGTAATAATATAAGATTCATAATATCTGTAATGAATAATTACTGATAATTTATCTTTATAAGAATTAATTTCTTACCACACAGAAATACCTAAACTTTTACATGGTACTAATTCCAAAGCCACACATTCTGGTAATTGCCAAGATTCATCTAAAAAGCTACAATTTCGTAAATTCAATTTAAAATTTAATTTACTGCTTTGCAGTAATACTGATAAAAATATTTCTCCAAGAATATTATCTCCCAGAATACTATTTCTATCATAATAGTCAGTAGACATTAATGGTGTTCTGACCTATGAAATTTTAATTAAAAATATTATACTAAGAAATTAATTTTGTAATATAAAAAATATACATACCAACATTTCAACTGGCATATGAAGGCACTTTCGTATCAAACATGTTTTAATTAAAAGTCTAAGACGTCCAGTAGGTGTATAAACTTTTGGATTTTTTTTCACTTGCTCAACAACCAAAGAATAAGTGCAACAAGAACTAAAATAATAAAATATTTAATATGAATATTTATATATTAATTATATATTAATTTAATATAAATATTTTATTTCTTAAATTAATATAATAATTTTATTTCTTAAATATTATAATAATATAAAAAATATAATATAAATTATAAATTTCGTTTATTATATTTTTTTTCAAACCTAAAATGTTTTTCTGCAATTTCTTCCAACCAATACCAAGCATCAGGTAACTTTGGAAAACCTATTGGATTTAAACGCATCAATATTCCTTTTTGAAAACATTTTTCTAAACTTTTATAAAAAAAAGGTAGATCTTTGTTTTCTTCATCAATCTCAATGTCACTTTCAGCTAATTTCTTTGTCCAACCTGAAAATTGTTTCTTCTAATAATTAATTTAATAATATTCAGTATAATGTTGTCTAATTGTTTAATTTTAAAATTTAAAAAGAGAATAGAAAATATAATGTATTTTAAAAAGATTTAATATAAATCTTATTAAAACGAAATATAAAATAACAAACAAGAAAACCATTATTATAAAAATAGATTATTTTTTTATACAATATAATAATTTTGGATGTCAAATATCAAAACTTAAAAATGAAAATATTTATAATTTAATAAAAATAATTAATAAAAAAGACATTATTATTCATTATAATAATCGTATTGCAGAAATAATTTTCTAACCTATAAAAATATTATAATTAATTACCTTTCAATTCTTTAATAAGGGGATTTGAGACCGTCATGGCATTATCAACTGGAATTATCATTAATGTCAAACATCAATAATATCGTTATTAAATAAATTAGTCAAAAATTCTTAACGATAAAAAGAAATATCATTTTCAATTAATTTATTTATATATTATTGTTTTAACAATATAAAAGAATATTCGTTATACATCAAACGTCACGTTTACTGAATGTATTTTATTTATAATGATATTGTACATATATATCATACGTAGAATACTTGTATTATTATAAAAGATAAAATTTACATTTACAAGCAAACGGCACGCATAAAGAAAATTGATAGATAACAAATACTTAACATATTAATTTTTACTTATTTGAAGTATAATAGATATTCGTACTTTCAGTATTCTATATATTACATAAAATTAAGCTATATTTCAATTAGAAGAATAAATAATATTGAGAATTTAATTTAAAAATTTAATTGCATAAATTTTGTGTGTTAAGTGTTATTAAATATAAATAGTTTTAAAATAATTAAAATGGCAACGATTGTGTCGGATATAGATGAAATAAAATCAAAAGCTTTGGAAGCTTTTGCAAATGAATTTGAAGATAATGCGAATATTTGTGTATGTGCACCCGGTCGTGTGAATTTAATCGGAGAACATACAGATTATAATGAAGGTTTTGTTTTACCTATGGTAAAATTATTGATACTTATATAAATATTATTTTTTTTTTACATAATAATTAATAATCTAATTTAATAAAATTTATAATCTAATATATATACAAAAATTAAAAAAATTCTTTCATGTAATATGCTATTGCTTAAAAAAAATAATTTTTCACGTTATTAATATCGGTAACACATTAATTATTTCTTTAAATATTTATTTCTTATGTTATTGATTTAAAAATTTAATTAATCTATTATTATTATAAATTTAATTTATTAATGAAAATATTAAGCATAATAATAAAATATTAAATAAAAAATTAATTTTTTGAATGATAAATTTGAATGATAATTGTTAAAAATTATTATAATTATTATAATATTGTTATTTCTTATTATTATATTGTATTATCTTTATTGAAAAGTATATTTTTTAATTGAGCAGCTATTAAACTTTTTAAATGAATACCAATAATTTTTAATTAAAACATAATATATTACAGGCATTGCCCATGGTTACACTTATAGTGGGAAAACTTAGCAATGGAAAAAAATGTAAAATTGTTTCTCTTAATGATATAGTTAATTCTGAAAATTATACTGAATTTGAAGTTAATTCTCGTAAGAATATAAAACCTGGAGAACCAAAATGGGCTAATTATGTAAAAGGATGTATAGCAAATTTTATTTGTTAGTTTTTTTATTATTGGAATTCATTTTAATAAAAGATAATGAAACAATAATATTGTATAATGTTAATTTTAGGTGATGTGCCACCTTTTAATGCTATTATTTTGTCTACTGTACCAGTTGGTGCTGGTTTAAGTAGTTCAGCTGCTTTGGAAGTTGCTATTTATACATTTTTGGAAGCATTAACTGGTATAGAATCAGAAAAGCCAGAAGATAAAGTATAATTGCATTATTTATTTTAATTAATTTTAATTTTACTAAAATAGAAAAATTTATTAGAAGTGTTGTTTAGGCAATAGCTTGTCAACGAGCTGAACATGATTTTGCTGGAGTTCCATGTGGCATCATGGATCAATTTATTTCTGTGATGGCCAAAGAAGGTTATGCTCTTCTTCTTGATTGCAAAGATCTTAGTACTAAACAAATACCTATATCAAAAATAAATGATTACATCTTTCTAATTACTAATTCTAATGCACCTCATAAATTAAGTTCAAGTGCTTATTGTGAGCGTAGAGATTGTTGTTATGAAGTTGCAAAAAGATTAAATAAAAAAAGTTTACGTGAAGTATCTATGAGTGATATTCAAGGTAGATTAAATAATGTAATTTTATATATATATATATATATATACACATATAAAAAAGTAAAATATTTTTTTTTTATTAAATTTTGACATTTTATATTTTATTTTTATTTTTAGTTTTAAAATCACAAAATGTACCTGAAGAAATGATAAAAAGAACTCGTCATGTAGTCACAGAATTAAAAGAACAATTGATGCTGCAGAGGCTCTTGAAAAGGGAGATATCAAAAAATTTGGACAATTAATGAATGAAAGTCATGATTCTTTAAAAAATGATTATGAAGTTTCTTCAGTTGAATTAGATACTTTAGTAAAAGCAGCAAGAGAAATAAATGGAGTTTTAGGAAGCCGTCTAACCGGTGCTGGTTTTGGAGGATGTACAGTAACATTATTGAGAAAAGATGTAATTGATCAAACAATCAATCACATGAAAACAAAGTTAGATTGTTATTTTTGTAACATTTTTATAATTTTTGAATTTGATAATGATATTTATATATAGTATATTGTTACAGATATTCTGGAAATGCAACATTTTATATAGCAAAACCTGCAATGGGTGCAAGAATTTTAGACAAAAATTAAAGAATATGATAATAAAAAATTATTATCTAATTGCAACATATTTACAAATAAAATGGATATAATAATAAAAAAAAAACTCAAATTTTATTTTTATACTTATATCAAACTAAAATTTTTTTAATTTAAAAAAAAGTGATATACTTTTAAAAATTTTGATTTTTTTATAGTATATCATATAAGATTTAGAATAAAATGTTAAAAAAAATTTTAATATTTGTTAATTTTTTTTAAAATAATATAAAATATTACATATTATTATATATTATATATAATAACTTTTAAATTGCATGTACAATAATGCATGTATATAAAAAATGCTACTGACAGATTATATAAATTTATATATTCATCTATAAATTTATATACACACTTCATAATTTTATATAATTATAATAAACCCTTTTGACACAATATTCATAACATAGTTTTTTTATATTTTTTTATAATATTTAAAATTAATATATTTAATATGTTTTAATTATTAATATGCATTACATTCTTAGTTACTGAAAAGTTACTTTATTTACGTGAAATTACATACATGAAATATCGTCGTATAGTTTAATATTGTATCCAAAGGGTCAATTGACACTTAATTATTACAATAATTATTAAAACATATTGTTCCTCTTTATTATAATATTGTCTATATTGTTCGTTTTCGAGTTATATTATATAATACTGATATGTATAAAATAAAAAAAAAAGGAGTTATAACTTCCGGGACGGAATTTATAAAAGTCTAAATGTTATCAGTACCTGTTCATAGTAGTTGACGAATTTGAAAATTCTGAAAATAAATAAAAGTTTTATACATTTTAGGCTAAATTATCTATATAAAATTTAACAACTATCAATGAATCAATTATCTAATTACATAATATATTATATAAAAATAAAATTAATTAATTACCTTTCAAACAATCGTTAAGTTCAAGTTCGCTAGAACTACATTTCAAGCCAGAAGGTTTTACACCTTTGAAAATTTCAATAATACTCGGTTTCAAATTATGAAAAATCAAAGGTTGTCCACGTTTGGAAAAATCTTCCGTTAAACTTTTAATTCCCTAAATAATGATATTATATAAATTATAATATACAAATAAATTATATAATACGGATAATTTTCTAACTTGATTATGTATAATTTTTTTTTTAATATTTTTTTAATTATTCTATATTTTATATTATTCCATCTTCTATTATAATATTTTATAATATTATACCTTTGCAGCTGTAAAATCTGCTGCTTGGATATGTGTAGAATCTATAACAACAGGTACCGCTGTTCCCTGTTTTGTACCTTGCTTACTAATTACAGCCCGCACGTATTCGACACTTGGAAAAACGAGACTTCTGTCGGGCGTTATGACAAGATATTCACAGCCGTTGATACTCTAAAACAAATATTTACACTGTATATATTTATAATAATATGATTTCTTTTTATTATACAAAAATGAATGAGAACAGATCATTAATTTATATCATATATGTAATATGAAAACTTCCTTACTGTATCTTTATGAACTCGTAGCGATGGTCTTGCTGAAGCATAAAGTAGGAACAAAACGTTTATACCGATACCGATTACTATACCTAATTCAAGTCTTATAAAAAGACAGCATAAAAATGTAGCCACAGCTGGTATGAGATCAATTTCTGAAAAAAAATTTATTTATTTATTATATAATGTACATACAGAAATGTTTCTGTACATTATAAAATTTTGAAACAACTATATTACATATTGTATAATAAATGTATAATAAATGAGTATCATCTACTAATGACATTATATTTAAAAATTAAACTATACTTTTTGTTCTCCATATAGGCTTGATCACGTGTAATTCCACCATAAAAATGACAGCCGCGATGATGATTGCAGCAAGAGCGGCGTTAGGAATAAAGTACAAATATGGGGTAAGGAACTGAAGTGATACAAGTACTAAAAGTCCAGTATAAACACCACCAAGAGTCGTTTTCACTCCGGATGAATGATTTACGGCACCACGACTAAGGCCACCGCTTACGGGCATGGAAGAAACGAAAGCTGACACAACGTTGCATACGCCTAAAGCCAACATTTCTTGAGTCGCATCGATTGGTTTACCTTCATCTATAAAAAAATATGCTTTCTTTATACGAGATCTTGTTACATAATACAACTTACAGATAAAAACTTGTTCTCCAAAAACTTAATCATTATGTAATATTATATTGTTATTATATGAGTAAAAAGCATAAAACTCACTAAAAACTTTGGCAATAGAGATGGTTTCTAAGAGGCTCAATAAAGGAATGACTAGACATCCGGAACCGAGTGCAGAAACCATATCGACGAAGTTATAGGTTTCATTCTTGTGATGGGTTTGAAACGGTGGTAGTTGAAATTCCGGAAGCCCTTGTTTAACGTGGCCCGTCAATTTAACGGGTGAGGAACCTAAGTGACTTTCTAAAAGCCAGCATATAACACCGCAAACGAGGACCACGAGAATATTTCGTGCCGTGGACAATAACCAAAGTGATTTTTGCATAATTACTTGTACTCTCGACGACATTTTTGCCGCTTTTTGCATAAATGGTATATCTTTGATTTTCTGCAAGAAAAAAAATAATTTTCATTTACTTTCATTCTTACGATTAAAAAGTATCTATTTATTGTTTTAAATAGTTTACATTATTAAATATTTATTTA